CCCCACAATGCAGCCTTGAGGCATTACTGATTTGGTGCTGAAGCTGGTATTTTCTTCTCCTGGCAGCTCCTTGCCCTCCAAGGGTATTGAATCCAAGCTGATGCTCCAGCCCCCTTCCCTCCCTTCCGGCATTGTTCCCAGGCTGTCACGTCAGATGCAAAACAAATACTCAGTGGCTTGGACCTCCTTGCATCCAGGAGAAATTGCATTTTCACACTGGCTCTGAACATTTGCTGCAGAGCCAAAGCAAAATTAATGCAGAAACTAATCCCTTTGCCCCTACCACGCACATCCTCTTCAATGATGGAGCCAAGAAAGACTGAAGACAATTAACCTTTTCTGTAAATTTCTCTGAGGTAGGAAATATCCTGCTTTCTGCTTTCTCTTGTTCCTCTTTCCCAGTTGCGCCATCAGGGAAACCAGTCTTCCCTGGAGCAGGAAAGTGCCTTCTTTCTCTTCCCACTACTGATGCTACAAGTTTATTTTAAGAAGAAATTTCATACCTATGCAGAATTGCTGTAGCTAGTCTTGGCTCTCTATAGCTATTAGCTAGACCAAGTAGGTGGCAGAGCTTGTTAGAGTAACTGCTGCCCACTCAGAAGCAGCCAAGAATAGCTGTAGCTTCTCCTAGGGATCAAGTATACAAGTCTGGAGCTCCAGGGGTCCCTTCCTGTGACGCATACGGCATTACCATCATAGCCATGGGAATATGCAACTGAGTGAACCTAGATGCAGACATCTGGAAATGTAATGCTGAACTGGCAAAAGAAAAAAGGTTATCGAGGTTTCTGGTCTCCCTGGCTTCCCTCTTTCAGGTGTCACAAACGCCAGTGCAGCCTTGTGCACTGTTAAGTGGTGAGGCAGAACCCATGGCAGTCCTCTGCTCAGCTTAGGGACAGCTTGCTCCAGCATCACTGCCTCTTCCTCCTTCCCAGTGACTCACTAGTGCATCTTCTCGCACAGGCTCCTGGACTGTCCAGCTAGAGAAGGGAGGCACTGTGGTGGTGCTGCGGAGCCTGCTGTGGCTTGGACTGACCTTCTACCATGTCCCAATGACCAAGCAATATGGCTACATCTACTTTGGCAATGGTGAGAAGAACTTGGATCTGCCCTTCATGCTGTGACCCTCCTGTCCAGGGTGAGGATTCAAGAACATTTAGATTTTATACTTAGGATATTTTTGTTTAGTGCTTGTTCTAATAAATATGTGAAACCTCTGCACTTTGAGCAGGATTCTTCCGTGCTTGGACTCTGGCCCTGATTCTTTTTGTAGGACTTCACTGTGTGCCATCCTCCCTCAACTCCAGATTGAATTCCCTGTATCATGTCACTGCAGGTCCTTTACATAGTAACAAATGGCATTTTCTTCCCCGATGGGCAAAGCCTGAGGTCAGAAATCAAACCTAGGCCATCTGTCTGATTACAAAGACACCACGCTTACACAAAAACTAATTTGGAGACAACATGAATGAATGCCAGCTGCCACCCATGAATGACAAACAGAAATAGAGTCTGAGTCAGAGTAGAAAGCTGATGCATACTGTAAGGGATCTGTTCTAAACCCTGAACTCTAGAAAGGCATATTGAAGAGAGTATTTTGGTTTTCAGATGTTAAGTTTCACTAAAATTAGAAGGGCCTTTCCAGCTCATGGCACTAAACTGTAGAAAAAAAACCCAATTCTTTTATTTGCATCACCTGGTCTTTTGCAAAAGGTGCTCATTCAGGTTCATCTCAAGGCATGGTTTAATCCAGTGACTTTTCTATGTGTAAAGCTCACTGTGCAGAGCTATCTGGGCTAGAAGACACAGTAACTTCTGTCTGTAGGAGAAAGAAGAAACTCTTCCTTTCTGAGGGGCTGTAGCTTCATAAAACAGAGGCAGTCAGCCGGAGATTTTATCTCAGTATAGTTAAGGAAGCCTTGGCTCTGTCTCTCAAAGCAAAAAGATTCTGGTCAGCTCAAGGGGCTGAATGTAGGGCTTACATTTCACAAAGAAAGGCTAAAAAGAACCATTATAATCTAATTTGATTTCCTGCGTAATATGGTTTTACCCTTCCCCTTTGTTCCTGTCCATGCCGATAGGTATTGGCAGATGATTCTGATGAAGGCAGTACAAGGTTAAGTGGCATAGTAGTACATAAAAAAGCTGTGTTGATTTGTAGCCCCTAGATAGTTATCAAAGAAAGGAGCCAAAGCAGTAATGACCCCGATAAATTTAACGAGCCTTTCATACCAGGCCCGTAAGTAGCACTTCACAAGCAGCAGTGGTCAGAAGGTGGATGGTGCATACACGTACAGAGAGAGAAATGGTGCCACTTTTTAGTTACAGGATGGAAAATGATGCACATTGTCAGCCCCAAATGATCCCAGGAAACAGCAATATCACTGACATGGAAGACTTAGGGCAAATAGAAGGGGGAAAAAAACCAGGCCAAGTCATCAAGGATGTCAACATTCTGTATTTGCTAGATCCACAAGTGAAGCACAAACCAGGAAGGGAATCTTTAAGAGGACATGTAACATGCACACATGCCTGTTTGCCACTGCCACAGGTGTTTTGCTGCAAATTATGGACAGTACAGAGAATACAGAATTTAATTTCAGTAGTCATTAACAATTTCTGTTACTACCAAGGAAACACTGTGCTGCAGGAAACTTTCTGCCATCTGTATCACATGTACAAAAGCCCAAATGAGGCAAATCTTGAGTTGAAACACAGGTTAATGGGGAATCATCGTTCACTGCTGGAAAAAGAAGGACACATCCTTTTCCAGACCAATTTGTGGACCATAATGAAACAAAAGCCTTAGATCCTTTCTGGCTTTGAGCTAAAGAGTCGTTGCCCCTTGCTTTCTCCAAATCATTCTGCATATTAAACTTTGCTTTGCTGAATCTTGTATTCTCCTAGAGGAACAGACTGCAGCTCAATCACACTGCAGACAATATAGAGTATTAATGAGGTTTTGGAATAAGAAAGTTGGAGGTACTGACAAACCTGCAAAAACAGCAGAACAGCGGAAAACAGCTGTGCTTACTGACTATGCCGGTTCTGGCCACTAGTGGTTTAAACAGAGAGGCTTTTGTGTGTATGTGACATTATCTTTCAGCAAAGGGTGTCCAACCGGGAAGGGCTTTTTGCACCACTTAGGTCCCCTCTTCCAGATGGGCTTTGCAGACCTGATGGACCAGCGGGTCAGATACCTGTCAAAACAACACAAACACATTTCAGTTTGAGACTGATCCATGAGAAAAGGTTTTGACTGAAGCAGGAGCAGGCACTGTAGCCTTAGCCTCCCCACATGCCTCTTTATAAAAGGGATAACTGAGCAGAGCTCCCTCCATTCAGAAGGGACCACTGGAAAGGAACTTTTGTTTGTTCTGGAACTTCTAAGCTGCACCTCTGTATTGCACCCACTGGCACTGGCTTGACTTCCAGCCTCACAAATCAAATCAGGTTTAGTGTCCAGGCTACTGGCAAGTTGTCTACCTGTAGCTAAACTGGACTGCCAAATCCCTTCATTGCAACAAAATCCAAGCCTGCATGCATCCAGCCTCTATGGGAGGTGCTATTTCAACAGCTGGCCTCAATAAAGTAAACTAATTACAAAGGCTAAGCGCTGTGAGAAATAAAGTCTCTAAAAAGGGATTAATTTTACTTTTGTTGGATAATCGGTTATTTCTTCTGCATATGATGTGTCTTGTATTTCCATATGTCCAAATGTGCTTTGGTGTTCTCTGTACAATACTATCACAGCTTGCTGGTGCAGGAAGTCAGAACCTACAGTGTAAGAGGTACTAGAATGGAATTATCATCACAACTACAAATCTCTGGGAAGAGCAACGTTTGGCAAATGTCCTCTGCTTTTTACCATTTGAAGTTTTAGACTTGGCTTTGGAAACAGGCGAGGGATTTCAGATCCAGAATCAGTTACTGGAAATCTTACTCTGTGGCTGGGTGGCCTGGAGTTTTGTTAGGCTTTAAATCTTTTGCTACCAGTAGAGAGGGAAATAGAGGTCCTTAGAGAACAAAGAGTCTTTCAGACAATAAAGATCCAAAGTAAAACCCCAGCATAATCTGCACAAACAATGCTCCAACAAATTAGAATTTGGAACAGACTGATAAACTTTGTCCAGTGATGTTTGCATGCCTCTGTTGAGTAATCCCATGGTCTTAATGTAACCTCCATCAGTCATCCTCTCCCCAAACAGCTTTGTTACCTTTTATTTGCATTGTGCAAATTTGAGATATTAAGGACTTTGGACAGAGACCATGTAATGCATTTGTTTGAACGCATCTGGCACATTCCTGAGAACTGCAGAGAAAGCTTGCTATGCCAGGCAGCTGCAGCTACAGACTATGTAACAGCAGCCCATTTCCCTAGCACTTTCTTTCCCCAGCAATCCCAAACAGTGCAGATTGAAAAATGAATTATGTTTGGAGGTTCCTGCCACAGAAATGAAGCCACTTCTGAAATGCTTTGCTTTTGCTTTTTGGAGTTTATGGTAGTTAAAACACCTAGAAGCAACAGCGGGGGGGATCTGGGAGACAGCATACAGCAAGATCCAGCCGCTTGTTCTCGTATGCGTGCATTAAATTAGTCCCTTTTGACCTTTAATGTTATGGTAGTGCATTAGTGGAATCCCTTATATAACACCACCAGGACAGGAAGCAGGAGAGACTCTCCTGTCTCTAATTTCACATGCAAGGGGAGTTCAGAGAGACCAAATGCAGGTCCCAGTCTGGAATCTGGCAAAGAACCACAGCAAGGCTCCTCTGGGAGAAGCTGTAGGCGTATTAGGCAGGCACATGGGGCTAGGTCCTTCTTTTCATGTTACCCTCGCTGCAGAGGGAGGTCTGTAGTGCAAGTTTTGGTATTGCAAAACTGAACTTAGAGCAAAAGAGAAAAAAAACCCCAAATTATTTTAATTTATCCATGTGCCAACTGCAGTTCTGGTCACGTGTCCACACGCTTACAGGAAAGTGCTCCCATGATAATAAATGATCCCACTGGGAGAGAAGTGAATGTGTGAATGTGAGATACACATCAATGCAGTGTGCAGGTTTAGACAGCCAGTGGCTTTTTAAGAAATCCCTCTGTTTCTGTGTGGGGGCTGGAAGTGCACACCCCAATTCTGCATAGGAAGGAGGATTTAGTAATGGCCTGATTTTAAAGCTTTTGTTATTTCTCTTTTGAGCAGGTCTAATCCAGCCCTCTGGTCCAGGCTTTTGGCTTCCTTTGGGGACTGCAGGCTGGGGCTTTTCATTGTTAGCCGAAACAGACATTTGGACGCTTTCCCTTCCTGAAGCACATTTGCTTTTAGCACTTTTAATACTTGCTTTGTCCCAGATTCAAACTTGTCCTATTTTGTTTGCTGCCTCTTTTTTTCTTCCCTTTTTTTCTCAATTTTCTTTTACCTTGATTCAGCAGTAGCAAAAGCCTCACGCCTGGGAGCAGTCAGTCTACAATGTTCCTTTCCTCTTTGACTAACCCCAGTTCCTACTGTTTCACAGATTTATTTCATTTTTTTCCTGAGAGTAAAAACAATCCACAACACTCCCATATAAGAGCTTTGAAGCCCAGCACATAGGCCTGTTCTGCACACTCTGCTGTATATGTAAGGTAGCGTTCCCCTCTTTCTAGCCAAGTCACCCAATTTTCCATTGTATCCAACCACACGGTTTGTCCTGGGGAGTTTTTATAACCACCTACAAACACACATTGGCAGATGGTCTGAATTTGCTCAACCAGCTGAGGGTTGTGAGGACAGAGCCTCCGCGTGGATGCCAAATGCAGCTGGTCCACAGTCTCCTAACCTGTTATCTCAGTGTGCAGAGCTCTCACTCTGGGCAAATGGGGACAGAACTGCCCAACTTGGGGACCAGCAGCTCACCTCCGGGCTCTGCTTGTCCCATTGAGTACAGTAGGATCCTGGGCAACAACCAGAATCCTAGATTCCAGCTGCACAAATGAGTAGTTTGGATAAAACATGATGGGAATCCTGGTAGGATTTCCCTGATGGGAAAAGGCAAGATATAAGCAGGATGGAAACAACCATGGTTAGTCACCTGCAGTCACTGCAATTGCCTATAATCCCTGTGTCACGTTTAAGTCCATTTATTCAGCAGGCAGGAGGGCCCCAAAGCCTTTCCACTCAGAGGCTGCCACTTAACACCTAGGAGTAGGCACAGGGCTTCCACGTGCTTGGTAAGGGAAATGACCTACCCATGGGGTAACTGCAGTCCTGCACACAGCCCAAGCAAAGGCCATGCTGGTGCGGTTCAAGGCTGAGCTAATGAACCCTCACTGAACTTACTCAATCTGTCTTTTGTTTGGATTGAGAGCAGAGGGCTGAGGGCTACAGACTGGAGGAAGCACTTGATCAAAGTGCTGGCAAGACTGCCTCCTCCTTGCCACATCTCTTCCCATGACACCTCTTGGCTTTGCTCACCTGCAGCCACTCTGGCTCTTTGCTTTGAATCCACATGCTATGCAGTTTCCATGCAGATGAGAGAAACCACATGTTGCTGGATTGAAACACTGATAGCAGTGAAACCAGACTCTGCTCCTAGGGACGAGAGGTGTCCACAGAGCCCGAGAACTTTGTAATTCATGAGGAGTTCATATGGAACTGCCTCTTTCCTAACACATAGCAACTTCTTCAGTTTACGTGATGGAGGAGGGATTGATTTGGATACTATCCCTGCCAAGTTCTATTCTTCCAGTAGGAAGCTGAAAACGCAGTGGCAACTGAACACTCAAAATGAAGTACTCCATAATAAGTACTCCAGCACAACTTGCTGACAGAGCCCAGACTTGAGGAACCTGTAATAACCCTTAGCCCTTTTGGAAAGGGAACAACTACTTTCATCAATATTTTGGACCTGCCAAAAGAAAGCGAGTGCTATTTTCACATTAAGAGAGCATCTATATGCTGGCTTGAACTCAGCGACTGTTCTGGATAGAGTGTTAGTCCACACTATCCATGTGACAGCTTCCATGCTGGGAAGAAAACTGCTGAGCTATTCAGGTTTCTGTTCCTGAAAACAAGGATAGAAGTCTGACCTGCAGCTGTGTTTGACCGCTTCCCAAACAGTGCTGGTGGTGGCCTGCACACACACGACTCTGGAATATTGGAACAGTCTGCCACTGTGCACGGCGCTGGTGATATCCCCAAGAACCTCCTCAGCCTCACAGGCTAGTGAAAATATTTTGTTGCCACAGCACTTCAGTGGAACATGCCCGGCTGGAGCACAAATGGATGCAGAAACAACAGTGGGAGGTTATGAAAGGGAGAATTCAGGCTAAGGATGAAGGAACAATTCTTGGCTGCAAGACAAATTTACTTGTGGAATCATCCTTTGGAAACAGTGAAAGCCCCAGACTGGGCCAAACATGAGAAAATGAACTGTAGGAAGTAATTCTGCATTGACGGAGGGTAACTTCATTGGTTTTCCATGTCCAAGTTCTGCAGGCAAATGATAGGAAGAGAGGGACAGGACAGAAGACTCAAGAGTTTATGGATGATGTGGGTATTCCCATGGCCATATTTCTTCAAAAGCACCCATAGCTAGTAAAGCAGTTAATTGGTAACACTCATGAGCTATTGCTGTGAAAACCCGATCAGGCAGAAAACAAAAAGTCGAAGCACTGAAGTCCAAGAAATCAGAAATATCATGGCAAGTCTCACCTGGACAGTGTCCCAACTGCAGGGGGTAGAAGAGAGCACTGCAGAGCACTCCCCAGTTGAATTCTGACTACAAGGTGTTCTCGTATGTCTCCTGCTAACCCCAGGACCACATAGCTTGGCTCAGATTGGCATTTCACTTTCACATTACACCTTCTGGGGTTCCCAGTCTCATCCTCTATGTTAAATTACATTGTGGATAGGCAATTCTGTACTGTGTTAGACAGCTGGATGACCAAGAACAAGTTGGGATCTGCAGGCCACTACATCCCAAAGCATTCTGCTCTCCTTTTGCATTCTAGTGGTAGGAAGAGGATCAGGAGATGGGGTGGGTAGAGGGAGGCCGGCGACCAATTGACCCAGTGCTAAGCAGGGAAATTCTTACTTCTCTGCAGAGAAATCTGAGGCATATAGAAGGAAATGTCCAAAGTTCAAGCAATGGAGGTGACAAAACCACTTCAGAAAATAAAGCAGGGATTCTGCTTATTGCAGAACATTGAATAAGCACCAAAAGAGCACCTTCTGGAGGAGCAGAGTAGGCAGAGGCATTCAGGATGATAAATCCATACATCACATCACTAGATCAACAGCAGGGCAGCACTCCTGACCCTTGTTAAGACAGCTTGCTGATAGTTCCTTATGGTGACATGTTACATTTTAATCTCAGCTAGGTGCTAGCTAGTGCATGCCAGACACTTTGTATTTAAAGCAGGCTCACTTTAAACAAGGTGACCGTGATACAGGCCAAACGTTCTGGCCAAGACAGCCACAAGTGCAGCCAAGGAAAAGTTGAAAAGCAGCTTTTCTGGTGCTCTCAAAAGTATGCATTAACACAGCTCCTCAGCCCTTCTTCACACACTTCCATAAGATCCATAGGGTTCCTCCCATGCAGCTGGCCTATACATTGTCTCAGGGGAAAGAGCAAAACAAAGAGGTTTTTCATCAGGCTGGTCTGTCCCTCTCTTGGCAAGAGCAGAAGCTGCTCTCAAAAATACTGACACAACCTTGGAAGAAGTCTGGCCAAAGGGAGCATCACCCACAACTTTGCAAGACTGGAGAGAAAAGCATATGCGGGAAAACAGAGGGATCCGGCCCAGCCAGCACGGGTTCATGAAGGGCAGGTCCTGCTTGACCAACCTGATATCCTTCTGTGATAAGATGACCCACCTTGTTGATGAGGGAAAGGCTGTGGACATTGTCTATTTGGACTTTATTAAAGCATTCAACACTGTCTCTCACAGAGTCCTCCTGGAGAAACTGGCTGCTCATGGCCTGGATAGATGTATTCTTCGCTGGGTTAAAAACTGGCTGGATGGCCAAGCCCAAAGAGATGGCCATCACTAGATGTGAATGGTATCACATCTAGTTGGAGACTGATCACTAGTGGTGTCCTTCAGGGCTTGGTATTGGGGCTGGTGTTGTTTAACATCTTCACTGATGATCTGGATGAGGGGATTGAGTGCACCCTCAGTGAATGTATGCAACGCCAAGTTGCATGGGAGTGTTGATCTGCTGGAGGATAGAAAGGCTCTGCAGAGGGATCTGGACAGGCTGGATCAATGGGCTGTGACCAATGGTATGAGGTTCAACAAGGCAAAGTGCCGGGTCCTGCATTTTGGCCACGACAATCCTGTGCAGCGCTCTGTATCTCCTGCCTTATGTGATGCCAGCTGCTGTTCCAGAGAGCACTGTTGGAGGTGCAGGTGGGGCTATGCACAAAACTCCCATAGAACTTCAGTGGTCAAGGTTTTGCACAGCTCCAATATGCAGAGCTTTCTGCTTCCAGCAGTCTGAGAAGACAGTATCATGAGGGACCAGGGGAGTATTCCTGAAGTACCCCTACACATTATCCTGGCTCTGGGACTCACTTGTTTTAGTTTCAGCCCCACCACCAAAACTTTCAATCCAATTTCTTGATCCCATTCTCTTGTCTCCACCCAGACCCCAAAGCTTGCCTATTTCAATGCTGTTCCATCTCTTCAGCAACAGCTCTGCTCTCTTTTTCTAAACTCTGCTTCCACTGTGCTTGCTACGTTCACTTGCTGGAAGGAGAAAAACAAGGGTGGTGTAGGGAAG